CTAGGGTTTGAGAATTAGGGTTTAGGGTTTGTGTCGATGCAGCTGGAGGTGGCCTCGGAGCTTCTGCGCGTGTCTGAGCAAGTAAAGGTAGACGCCAAACCCTAAACCCTAAACCCTAAACCCTAAACCCTAATTGCTGAGCTGCACGTGCTATCCGAGCCCTTTGTTTGAGCTGCAACAGAAGACACAGGAAGCAGCAAGAGCTGCAGCAGCAACAGAGGAAAAGCTGCAGCAGCAGCTGCTGCTGCTGCAGCAGGAGAAGCACAAGGCCGAGCTGTACAGCCGCATGCAGCAGCTTCAGCAAAAGTATCGGGAGATCGAGCAGAGGCAAGTGCTGCTGCTGCTGCTGCTGCTGCTGCTGTTGCTGCTGCTGCTTCTGCTGCAGCGGCAGCAGCGGCAGCAGCGGCTGCTGCTACTGCAGTGTAGCGCGTTTCTGTAGCAGCTGCTGCCTCCACGATTGCTGCTGTTGCTGCTGCTGCTCCTCCCACTAGCTCCGTAGCAGCTGCTGCGGCTGCTGCTGCTGCGACTGCTGCTGCTGCGGCTGCTGCTGCTGCTGCTGCTGCTGTTGCAGGCAAGTTCAGCTGCAGCAGCTGCAGCGCTGGTGGGAAGCCTACGGGGAGCGGCAGCTGCAGCACGAGCGCCGCCAGGCAGTTTTGCTGCAGCAAGTCAGCGTCGCTAAACCCTAAACCCTAATTCAAAATCCCAAACCCTAAACCCTAATTCAAAATCCCAAACCCTAAACCCTAATTTCAACCCCCCAAACCCTAAACCCCAGAGCCCAGCATTCAAAACCCTAAAGCTCATATGCAGCGTGCGAAGCAGCAAGCAGCAGCGACTAGCCCGCGCCTGCCTGAGGGTTTAGGGTTTAGGGTTTTAGTGCTGCTGCTGAGGGTTTGGGCTTATGAGGGAGAGGCTGCGCCTGCGTCTGTCTGCAGCAAAGATCAGCCCGCAGACGCTCATCGGGAAGCGCTGCTGCTGCTGCTGCTGCTGCTGCTGCGGACTCCGCAGCAGCAGCACACTATGTTGCACCTGCAGATCCGCTGTTGCAGTGTCTGTCACCGCGCTCCCAGCAACAGCAGCAGCAGCAGCAGGAGCTGCAGCAGGGTGAGGAGCTGCAACAGAAGCAGGAGGAGCAGCAACTGGAGCAACAGCAGGAGGTGCAGCTGCAGCAGGAGCTGCAGCAGGAGCTGCAGCAGCAAGAGGAGCAGCAACAGGAGCAAATTCAGCAGCTTCAGCGGCAACACGGGAAGCAGCAGCACCAGCAGGCACGGGGAGAAGTTGGTCTGAAGTGAACAGCAACTTCGTTTCCTTTTTTGCTGCTGCTGCTGCTGCTGCTGCTGCTGCTCGTGCGGCTGCTCGCTGCACCCCTTTTGCCGATGCGTCTTTGTAGATGCGCAGCAGCTGCTAGCAGCAGCACGTGAAACACGGCTCAACGCAGCAGCAGCAGCAGCAGCACAGCAGCAGCAGCAGCAGGTACCACTGCAGCAGCAGCGGCAGGCCATAAGGAAAGTACACGGCGGGAGTGCCTCCGCCTTTCTTCATTTGCTTCGACAGCAGCACACTCAAAGAGCCTACAGCGAGACCTAAACCCTAGACCCTAAACCCTAAACCCTACATCTTAAACCCTAAACCCTAGCTAGACACCGCGCCCATAGGGCTCAAGTTTTGCCGCGAGCCGCGAGGCCTAGGGTTTAGGGTTTGTCTCACGTGCGCGCAGCCCCCAGATTAGGGTTTAGGGCTTAGGGTTTGGGGCGCTGCAAGAGCCCCCGCTGCAGCAGCTACAGAGGCCAGCCTACAGCAACGCCAGAGAGAGCCCGTGGGCCCAATTGGCTCAGCAGCAGCAGCAGATGTGTTGCTGCTGCTGTTGCAGCCGGTGCTACAGCGGTCGCAGCAGCCTGCCTTGCTGCAGCAGCGGCTGCGCCGCTGCAGCAGCCGCTGCTGCAGAGCCAAAACGCACTCAAGAAGCATTAAAATTAGTAAATTTAAAACAGAAAAACACGAAAAGAAGGAGAAAAGGCGCAGCTGCAGCAGAGAGTGAGAGCCGCAAACAGCCAGCGCACGCAACGAAACAGCAGCGGCCAGGGAGCCTCCGGGGGCTCCCGGATTCCCCTTTTGCATGCTTACTTCCATTTCACCATCTAACTTAATTAAATAAGTTTAAATAAGGCCGAAAAAATCGGGAAAAAAGCTGCAAAAGACGCAAAGCAGGGGCCCCCAACCCCCGAAGAGGCTGCAGCAGCAGCTGCTGCTGCTGTAGTGTGGGGGGCTGCCGACCACGGGGGCCCCGCAGCAGCAAACCCTTTATAATTTTTTGGCTATCACATTGCAGCAGCAGCAGCAACAAGTCGCTGCTGCCAAGCTCGCGGCGGCGTAAGAGCAGCAGCAGCAGCAGAGGCAGCAGCAGCAGCAGCAGCAGGCAGCTGCCGCGTACCCTCCGGGGAAAGCCCAATACGCAAGGTTCCTCAAGAGACACACGCTGTCTTTCTTTTTGCCTCATACAGCAGCAGCAGAGGAGCAGCGAGAGCGCAGCAGAAGCATCAGCAGCTGCAGCAGCAGCTGCAGCAGCAGCTGCAGCAGCAGCGCAGCAGCAACTGCAACCAGTCTGCTGCTCCTACATAAAAGGGCCCCCTGGGGGCCCCCGCCTTTGCACAGCCCCAGGCTTGGAGGGGAACAGCAGCTCCTCCGTGCACCAGTTGACGTCCCTTTTGGCTGCAGCAGCAGCAGCAGCAGCAGCTGCAGCTGCAGCTGCTGCTGCTGCAGCGCCACAGCAGCACATCAGGGTGTGAAGCAGCAGGACTGCTGCGGGCGCGCAGGCGGCGCCTCAGCTGGGGTGCAGCAGCAGCAAGGGCAGCAAAACGGCGGCAGAACAGCAGCAGCAGCAGCAGCGGCAGAGGCAGCAGCCTCAGCAGCGGCAGCAGCAGCAGCAGCACCTACAGCAGTGACCCATGCACACGCTCTGTACGCTTCACCAAAGCGCGAGCCGCAGCTGCTGCAGCAGCG